CTGTCAGAAGCAAGTAGGACCTGCCAGAAGCAAGTAGGACTGGTCAGAAGCAAGTAGGCCTGGTCAGAAGCAAGTAGGACTGGTCAAAGGCAGGTAGGACTGGTCAGAGTCAAGTAGCCCCGTCAGTGGCAGATAGGTCCTTTCAAAGGCTACTTGGAAAGGTCAAGATGGGGGCCGAGATGGGGTAGAGGTAGGGCAGCCGACCTGGGACCAGAAAGTTGCGGTTCGACTCCCAGCCATTCTCACATGTCGTGGTGTCTTTGAGCAAGACACCTAATCAATCCCCAATTGCTCCCCGGGCGCTTACATAGCTGCCCACTGCTCCACCTGGGTGTATCTCACAGGTGATGGGTTAAATGCAAAGAACTAATTTCGCTTTTGAACTTACAACAATGACAATATCAGACTTCCTTTCCCTTCAAAGGCAGGTAGGACCGGCCAGTGGCAGGTAGGACCAGTCAAAGGATAGTCTGACTGGTCTGTCAGGTAGGACAGATCAAAGAAAGGTAGAACTTGTAATGAGGTTTTTTTTTGTCATTTGGACTCATGGTTCTGGACTTAGATTGAAGTAGACGGCTCGCTCAGTTGGAGCCCATTTAACCAATCACATCACTGGGAGCTTCTGATGTCAGACAGTTGGACCTGTCCTCTGACCCGTCACTAATCGTCCACTCTCACAGGAATCTTTCTGTCCCCGTGAGGTCCCCGTACGTCCATTCCTCCTCACTTCTGTCTCAGGTCCGGAGTTATCGGCGCCAGCACCCGAACACTTCACTGTTGTGATGACTGTGTTCCTCAAACCTCTGAGGAGCAAACAAAAAAGAAAAAACAAACAAACCACAGAACCACACAGGAGGTTCAGATTCTAATGTTTGCTCTGGTGAAAGGTGAATACTTCTGGAGATGTTTTTTTTTTAGTGAATACGTTTTTGTTTCTGACCTATTTATTGAAAATAAGCTAAATGAGAACAGAACTGTGTGGCGTTGCTTGGAGACGTTTTGTCCTCCGGCTGCTGAGGTTTCTGCTCAGACCTGAAACCACGAGGACATCCCAACTTTCAGTTCTGTGTTCACTGGAGTGGTGATGAAAAGCTCCTGCTAGTGTCCGCCTGTTCAGACCTGCAGAAGAAGAAGAAAGCAGCAGGAAGAGGTGGGCGTATGCACGGGACTTCATTCACACGAAGTGGAAATTTTAAAAGCGTGCGACAACATGCTGTTCTAAAGAATAAGAGCTGTAATTTTATAACTCAAAACCGAACATTTTAGTGCCCATATAAGGTCAACACTTCCCGTCTTATTCTTCACTGATGTAAAAGTGATAATTTGGAGCTCCTGGAAACTGATTCAGTTTTATCATCTGATTTATGCCTTGAAGATAAATAACGAGTCAGGGGTTTTTACCCCCTGAGTCCTGTCTGCAAGGTTTACCAAGTGGCGCAGTAAACCTGAGAACAGTTTGAAATAAAACATCTTATCACCTAACACAGACTAAAAGGTGTGTGTGTTTGAGAGGGAGGGGTACATGTCCCCTGTCCTCTTTGGGGACTGTATGTCCACAGTTTGAACACAAAAGCTGAGGATTTACAGGAGCTAGGTGGCGTCGGGTTTCTCTGAGCTGCTGTTTGTCTATTTTTCCTCTCACAGGCTTCAAGTTGAAGCATTTCCTGCGAGACAATGAGACTCTGTCGAGCTTTCTGCTGAGGAACGCCTCTCTGCCCCAGCACACCGTTCAGCAGATCACTGAGGCCACCATCAACCTGGAGAAGGTGAGGAGGCACTCTGCACGTGCTCGGTGCAAATGCTGAGCTGTATTCATAAAAAGACAAAAATAAGTCCAAAAATTGTGTTGGATATGGACAAACAACAAAGTATGTTTTTGGTTCTGAGCTGAAAAAATGGAACGGATCTGTAAAAAGAAATTAGAAATTAAAATCGTAAATGGTGGTTCTGCTGCTGATCCATCCGTCTCTGGTTTGTGTTTCAGGTACTCCTCAGAGGTTTGGGGGCCCACCTGAGGGACATGTGTCCCAGGAACGGCGGGAGCCAGAATTTGTCGGACTTTGTGACCATCTCGGACCAGCGGGTGCTGTCTCTGGTGCAGGACATCATCTGTGAGGCGCAGCCCGAGTGGCTGAATCACGCTGAGGAGAACTTTATGAGCAACCTGGACTTCTTCAAACCAATCCGGGTAAAGACGTCTCTCTTCAGCAGGGAGGACAATTTAGATTCTTTTAAATAGTTTGTCTGCAGCTGCGAGATGTGGAAAAACCATCCAGAGACCACAGCAGGTCCAATCAGAACCTAATACAACCCATAAATCTTTTTGATGATCCACTGATCAACTTTAACAGCGCTTAAAACACAATGATAAGATGAGTTTTAGAGCCCAGAGATTGGTCTGACAGGCATATTTGACAAAATAGAATGAGTTTTGTTCTGTAGCAGAGGGCGTCTCCTCGCACAGCACTCAGGTGTCACGGTGCAGGTGAGTTCAATGTGTTTTATGTGCGTGGGAGGAGGCGTGTCGCGGCCTGCTCCGGCTTTTTGCAGACTCGGTTTTTGTAGCCTGGAGACCAGTTTTAAATGGTTTCAATGAGGCTCGAGTCACGGAGGCCTCGGCCTCTTTTGTGTGCAAAAATCTACGAGCTGCCGGCGGGCGGGTTTCCACAGCAGCACAGGAAACACCAAGAGGCTGAGCGAGGTCAACCGAGGACCAGCAGCTGAGTGTTCCCATGTATTCTGGTTCTGGTCCAGAGTTATAACAAACAGGGTCTCCTGTAGAGAAGAGTCCGCCTCAGGAGGTCTGAAAAACTTAACGTGCCATCTTCAGATGTTTAAAAAGCTTGATTCTATAAAAATGATGATGCAGAGAAGAGTGCAGGTTAGAAACTTTATTCATTCATCAATTAAACTTATGTATTTATTATTATAGCTGAATGTCTCATAAGGACTGACTAAAATAAAATGGAGGTTGTTCAATGTCCAATCAAGTCCACAAAACATAAATAAAACCCGCAAATGTGAAAAACGAATCTGAAACAGACAGAAACCTGACCCTGCTCAGGTCGGGCTCAGAGAAACCCTCCTGACTTGGGTTTGAACTAAAAACTAAATGGAGTATTTGTATTTTTTAGAGGGAGGTCCGGTCGGACCCGGTGGCGATCCAGCAGGTCGCCAGAGCCACCAACAACCTTCTGGACAGTCTGGGTTCTCTGGCTGTGGAGGTAAGATGTTACCTGATGTTCTCCAACACTTTTTTTTTGTTCAAAGAAAAGGATTGATTCTCTGCAGATTGAAAACGTGTCTCCTAGTGGACAGACTCTCAGCCATTGTCCCCGGCCCCTCTCAGGGCCACAGGGTTTACTTGGCAGCTCTCAGAGTCCCCGTTGGTCTTTGTATTCAGATAAAAGCTGCAGCTAAACAAAGACCTGAACGTCTCAGAACAACAAACACTCAGCGTCCGTCCTCGTCCCGCTGAGACGGTGTAGACTGCAGGGGGCTGCCGGTCTGCTTGAGCTCGACAGAGACTTGAGAAACTCTAAAGCTGCTTTGCCATTGATAAGTGTGACTCCACTCGGTTGTGGTCTTATCGGTTCTTCTCAGGTGTAGGTGACCTGACCTGGGAGCGGCTCACTTGGAACCACAAACAAGATGGTCCCATAAACCGGGCTGAGTGGGGGATGGGGTACAGTCAATGGACAGTCCCTTAACTGGTGCGGTGTGGTGCAGAATTGATGAGCGTTGAGACTGAGAGACAGTGAGGGATGCAGAGCGACAGTGAGGGACGCAAAGAGACAGTGAGGGATGCAGAGCGACAGTGAGGGACGCAAAGAGACAGTGAGGGACGCAGAGAGACAGTGAGGGACACAGTGACAGTGAGTGACACAGAGAGACATTGAGGGATGCAGAGAGACAGTGAGGGACACAGCGAGACAGTGAGGGACGCAAAGAGACAGTGAGGGACACAGAGCGACAGTGAGGGACACAGAGAGACATTGAGGGATGCAGAGAGACAGTGAGGGACACAGAGCGACAGTGAGTGACACAGAGAGACAGTGAGGGACGCAAAGAGACAGTGAGGGACGCAGAGAGACAGTGAGGGACACAGCGACAGTGAGTGACACAGAGCGACAGTGAGGGACACAGAGAGACATTGAGGGATGCAGAGAGACAGTGAGGGACACAGAGTGACAGTGAGGGACGCAGAGAGACAGTGAGGGACACAGAGTGACAGTGAGGGACGCAGGGAGACAGTGAGGGACACAGAGCGACAGTGAGGGACACAGAGAGACAGTGAGGGACGATGAGAGATGATGAGAAACACTTAAGAACGAAGAAAAATCAAAGTCCGGTGTTCCTGTTTCACCTGAATGTGATCGGACCGTGTGGACGCAGGTCCAACAGTTCTAATGGAAGTCTTAGGTAGCTGATTAGTTCTGGGTCTCAGATTATCCAATGCAGGTTCTGGCACAGAACCAACAATTATTGGTCCAAATGCAGTTTAACCTACATTTGACTCTGGACTCATTTCTGGGTTTACTCAGGGGTTAATGAGGTACCTGGCCCTGTTTCGTTCTGAATCCTGATCCGGTTTCGGCTGCATGTGGACCTTTAGTCTCTGCTCATCTCGGAGTGAAACGGAGGCTTCGTTTCTCAGAGAGGACGAGTAGAGCGGGACCCGGTTCAGGGTTCGGGTTTTTTGTGTTTACATGCTGAGAACAGAGAGATAATCAGAGGAAAGTTGAGTCAGAGAGTTGTTTTTCACCCCGAGGTTATCACCCACACACTCACACGGTAATGCTGGCAGGTTTAACGGGGAAACGCGAGTGTTTGTGTGCTCAGCGTTTCTGCTGAGTCAGCATCAGAAATTGTGACAACACTTCCTGTATTTCAGAGAAAAGTATAGACTTCAGGACTGCTTCAAGGCTTTTCTGCTCGTGTTTCTGACGTCATCCTTCGGGTCCTGTGGACAAACATTCAGCTTCACGTTTATAAAACCCACACTGTCAGAAAAACAGCAGACCTACCTGCCAGTCTTCAGCCAATCAGAGTTCTTATCATTTTAATATCTCACCTGAAACTCACCTGTAGATGCAGGATGGGCGCAGAAGATCCTGGTCCACTTGGTCTGGTCTGATCTTTGCTCAGAGATACGTGACTCAGAAATGGTCAGCAGGACAAAACTGACAGAGTGACCTTTGTCACTGTTTCACTTCTGCTTCTTGACGAAGACGACCTGCAGTAACCTCATCCTCACACAGAATCTCTGTTTCCTCACACACCGTCAGCTGATCTGAAAATACAAAAAAAAGTCATGAAAACGTTTTGAAGATAACACAAAAACCATCATGAAGATGACATAAAAGCATAACTAAAACTGTTAAAATTTTACAATAAATATCACAAGAACGTCACAAGTACATTATAGAAATGTCACAAAAATATTGCACGAGTAAAAAAAAACATTTAAATATTACAAAGACAACATGAAAACGTCATAGTGTGAAAGTTTTACAAAAATATCACAAAAGCGTTACAGGAACACAACAAAATATCACAAAAATACCACAAAACATCACGAGTGTATTACAGAAACTTATGACGCAATCACAGATACATGAGAAATTAGGATAACCCTGACTGGAGATGGAAAGTTTTCGTCTTAGATTGGGTCTGATTAATGGAAATGTTTTATGATGTGTCTGAGCTCTTCTTCATCCAAACAAACATCTTCATCATCCAAATAAACACTCCTGCTCATCCCTGCAGAAGTTCTGTTACTGCGGTCCCACCACATATTGTCACCTGTCTCACCTGTCTCCTCTGTCTTTGGTCTCCAGTTGGCCGGGATGAAGAGCTGGGTGGACCTGAGGAATGAGATCATCTTCCTGACTCGGAACGCCACCTCATCACCCAGCACCATGTACCAAGCGGTCTCCAGGATCGTGTGCGGTCACCCCGAAGGCGGCGGTCTGCAGATCAAGTCTCTGAACTGGTACGAGGACAGCAACTACAAGGCCCTGTTCGGGAACCACAACAGCAGCGAGGACGAGGCCTCTTCGCTCTATGACAACTCCTCCAGTGAGTCCTTACTGGTTCTACTGGGCCAGTGACCGGATTGGACCGACTGCAGCTCCACATGTCTAGTCAGACCTTTGACCTTTGGTGTGTGTGCATGTGTGTGTGTGTCGCAGCTCCCTTCTGTAACAACCTGGTGAAGAACATGGACTCAAACCCGATGTCCCGGATGATCTGGCAGGCTCTGAAACCTCTGTTGCTGGGGAAGATCCTGTACACCCCCCACACCCCTGCCACACAGCGGATCATCCACGAGGTATGACATCACTTCCTGTCTCAGCCGTAAGCACATATGCTCAGCAATCAGGATACCTTCATCAATAAAGCTAACATTTAATCTGTTAGATCAGCATCATTATATGTGGTTGCCATGGTGACGGGAATTCTCTCACTTGTGTGTGTTTGCGTGTTGTGTTCAGGTGAACCGCACCTTTCAGGAGCTCGGTGTGTTCAGGGACCTGGGTGGCATATGGGAGGAGATGAGACCCAAGGTCTGGGACTTCATGGAAAACAGCCAGCAGATGGACCTGATCAGGGTAAACAGGCTCCACCCACCACCTCACCTGTTCTTTTCACCGCTTCCTCTTTAGACGTTACTTCGGTCTGAACGGAAACAGGTTCATCCTCTTGTTTTCTTTTTTTCCTTCCCTCCTCAGATGCTGCTGAAGAACAACATCACTGCCAGATTCTTCCATGCTCAGCTCGCCACCACTGATTGGACGGTGGCCGATGTGACAAAGTTCCTGTCCAAGCTTCCGTCAGAGAAGCTCGACGGCGCCCTCACCTGGAGGGAGGTGTTTAACGAGACCGACCAGGCCATCATGAGCATCTCTCGCTTCATGGAGGTCTGTGTGTTCCTGCTACGAACCGTTTGATTGGACGGTTCCAGTCAGCTGATTGTCTCAGTTCAGTTTCAGTCTGTTTTTTTGTTTGTTTGTTTGTTTGTTTACCACAAAGTGTTTTGGTGTTTGGTTCCTTTTAGAGCTGACAGTGGCAGACGTGTAAGTGGTGAGGTGGGTTTCAGGTGATCAGGACCTGAACTGTGTGTTTATTTGTGCGTCAGTGTGTGAACCTGGACAAGCTGGAGCCGGTCTCCACCGAGGAGCGGCTCGTTAACCAGTCCATGCTGTTGCTGGAGGACAGGAAGTTCTGGGCGGGGATCGTGTTCCCTGAGATCGCTCCAAACACCACCGCACTCCCGGCGAAACTCAATTACAAGATCCGGATGGACATCGACAACGTGGAGCGGACCAACAAGATCAAAGACGCGTAAGATCGCACACACGGTGCCATGTTGACCCAATGGGTTGGGACCAACCAGGTGATTGAGGGGAGGGTGGAGTCAGTGCACTGCTGAAAATCAGCCTGACTGTCCTTAATTGGGCTGGTTCTGGGGTATCAGACTGTTCTGCTCTAACATTCAACAGACTGGATCTGAAACTGTCTGTGGACAGCTTACACCCAGAAACAGGAAGAGTTTTATGTTCAGACCCGGTCCAGTCAGCCAAATTAACAATAAACATCAGATCACAAAGGTGCACTCGGTCACTCCGGTGTTCATCTGGGCTTTAATGCTCTGCCTCTTCTCCTTCTCAGGTACTGGGACCCAGGTCCTCGTGCCGACCCATTTGAGGACATGCGGTACATCTGGGGCGGGTTCTTGTATCTGCAAGATGTGATCGAGCAGGGCATCATCAGAGCGCTGACAGGCACCAGAGAGAAAACCGGAGTGTACATCCAGCAAATGCCATACCCCTGCTACGTGGACGACATGTAGGAGGACTCACAGCGTCCACGTTCACGAGTTCGTCCTTGTTAGCTTCGTCTGAAACGTCTTCCTTTGGTCTCTGTCGCAGCTTCCTGCGGGTGATGAGCCGCTCCATGCCGCTCTTCATGACGCTGGCCTGGATGTATTCGGTGTCCATCATCCTTAAGAGCGTGGTGTATGAGAAGGAGGCCCGGCTGAAGGAGACCATGAGGATTATGGGTCTGGATAACGGTATCCTGTGGTTCAGCTGGTTCATTAGCAGCCTGGTTCCTCTGCTGATCAGCGCTGGACTGCTGGTGCTGGTGCTCAAGGTGAGGAACAGGGACCTCGACCACATGATGTCTGTTAGAAAAGGTGAACACAAACACGGTTCTGAACTTTTACTGGTGCTGGTTTTGACTGCTGGAACTGGAAGATTGAGTCATAATTTCTTACTAGAGGATTTTATTTAACTTAGATGAAACAGAAAAAAAACCCATCAAACTGCTCAACTTAAATTTCATCTTCTGCTTTTCTCCAGGTTTGGAAATCAGAACAATACAAACTCGTTAAAGTTCTCTCGTCCATAACACGAATACAATCGCATAAAGAAGTTTTATTTATCGGAACAAAACAAACAGGTTCTTACAAAGTCTGTAGAGCAGATAAATATGACCTCAGATCCTAATCGCAGGAGTGGATGTCCCAGAAAATTCACCCCAAGGTCAGACTGTGCAATTTTCAGATAATTTACAAAAACCCAAGACCTCTGTCTCAAACTCTACAGGTCTCAGTAGGCTAAAGATCAAGACAGCTATAAAAAGACTTGCTCAACTCAATCACCCCATACTAACTTTTCAGCATGGTGGTGGACGTCTGATGGTTTGGGCTTGTTTTGCAGCCACAGGACCTGGGCACTTTGCCATAAAAGTAATTGCCCTTCTTGTTAAATCTTGAATGAACAATTATTTATTTTAGAGCCGAGTTTAGTTTCACTCGCCACACCCAGGCCTGACGACTGTCAGACCTGTAGAATCAAGCAGTCACTTAAAGAGAGCCAGAAATCCGCAGATGGAGAAAACGTGGAACAGTGGTGAACCTTCCCACCAACATAACTCCAAGAGAACATTAAGAAGTCATCCAGAAGGTCTTAAAATAATTCAGAACATCATGTGAAGCTCCGCAGGCTCAGTTAAGGTCAGAGTTCATGATTCAACAATCAGAAAGAGGCAAAAATGGGACTCCACAGGAGAGCTACGAGCCAAAACCACTGGTGACAAAACAGAACTCAAATGTCCGGCTCACTTTTACCAAAAATCCACCTGATTTTCTCCAAGACTTCTGGGAAAATATTCCTATGGCTGCTTTGCTGCTTCAGGACTTGAAAGATGTGACTTGTCTCTACCAAATCCTGAAGGAGAATGTTCAGCCTTAAGCTCGAGCACACGTGGGTTTTGCAGCAGGACAATGATTTGAAGCAAAGCAGCATCGATCCTCCACAGCCGGGTGAAAGACTCCTCGGCAGTTATAACAGCTGGATCTCAGGTGTTTCTGCCAAGAGGGCACAGACACTTTTTAGGTTTAGGTGGGAAATATTGTTTTTAACACAGACTGGTTGGTTTGGATAGTTTTTTTTTTTCGTAATAAATTATTTCATTTTAAAACTGCATTTTGCATTTATTCAGGTTATCTAAATGTGACATAAACAGAAGAAGTCTACTTTTTCACAGCGCTGTACTGTACCACCTGATTGTGGTTGGACCTCAGGAGAGCTGTGCAGAAACAAATGTGCTCATCTTACCGTGCCTGGTGGGATCCCAATCATTGTTTTAGTTTGTACAATTAAAGGCGTGTTGTCCTCCACAGAAGGGGAACCTGCTGCCTTATAGTGACCCAGGCATCATCTTCCTCTTCCTGGGATCTTACGCCGTGGTCACCATCATGCAGTGTTTCCTCATAAGCACGTTGTTTTCTCGTGCTAACCTGGCTGCCGCCTGCGGAGGAATCATCTACTTCACCCTCTACCTGCCATACGTCCTCTGCGTGGCCTGGCAGGACTACATCGGCTACGGAGCCAAAGTCTTCGCTGTGAGCGGCCTCGCCTCTTCGTTGGGTTGTTGTTTTCATGCTGTGGAGTGACTGGCTGCAGTTAATCTCATGTTCTGTTGTTCTTCAGAGCCTGCTGTCCCCTGTGGCGTTCGGGTTTGGCTGCGAGTACTTTGCACTGTTTGAGGAGCAGGGAGTTGGTATCCAGTGGGAGAACCTGGTGTCAAGTCCCCTTCAGGAGGACGAATTCAGCCTTCGTACCACCATCATCGTCATGTACTTTGACTCCTTCCTGTACGGAGTCCTCACCTGGTACATCGAAGCTGTGTTTCCAGGTGAGATCTTAATTTAAAAGTTTTTTTTTCTCTAAAATGTTCTGGTCAGCAGGTAGCTGCAGTGAGACCTGATGGTTCTGTTTCATTGCTGTGTTTGTCATCAGGTCAGTATGGGATCCCTCGACCATGGTACTTTCCCTTCACCAAGTCCTACTGGTTTGGAGAGGATGGGAAGTCCAATAAAGTCCCTCTGAACCGGAAAGGAAACGCTTCAGGTGAGAATGGACCGCAGAGTGGAGCCCCAACTCATCACACATTAACATTTCAAGAACATCTGCAACCATCAAACCAAGAAGACAAAACCAAACACATCGTGAAGTTTTTACTTTGAAAGTTAAAGTGTCTGCACCTGTTCCCAGCTGTGTGTGTGGAGGAGGAGCCAAGTCACCTGGAGCCAGGAGTCTACATCGAGAACCTGGTGAAGGTCTACCGTCACGGTAAAAAGCTGGCAGTGGACGGACTAACGCTGGGATTCTATGAGGGACAAATCACGTCTTTCCTGGGACACAACGGAGCCGGGAAAACCACCACAATGTAAGTCCAGAACCTGTACCATTTACAGTCTCTGGTTCTGTCTTCACCTGTCTCTACCTGTGTCTGTCTTCAGCTGTAGCTGCTAGAGTTTGTACAGAGACAGATGAAAAGTGACACAAATGCTGGTGCAGATACAGGTATAGACAGAGCCAGAGATAGAGGTATAGCTCCACCTGTCTTTTTCCTGCAGGTCCATCTTGACTGGCCTGTTCCCACCCACCTCCGGCACCGCCTACATCCTGGGTAAAGACATCCGGTCAGAGCTGAGCATTATCAGACAGAGTCTTGGTGTCTGTCCACAGCACAACGTCCTCTTCAGCATGTGAGTCCTCTGTCTGTACTCGCCTTTCACCACCTTCTTCCAGTTTGTCATGCGACCTTTTCTCTGTTTGGCCCCGCTCACTGCAGGTTGACTGTAGAGGAGCACATTTGGTTCTACGCTCGGCTTAAAGGCCTGTCAGAGGAGCAGGTCAAAGGTGAGATCGAGCACATTCTGCAGGACACAGGGCTGCCGCACAAACGCAAGTCCAGGACCAGCACTCTCTCAGGGGGCATGCAGAGGAAGCTGTCTGTGGCTCTAGCCTTTGTTGGGGGGTCGAAGGTGGTGATCCTGGATGAGCCCACAGCCGGTGTCGACCCCTATGCTCGTAGAGGGATCTGGGACCTGCTGCTGAAGTACAGACAGGGTGAGTGATTGGTGGAGTTTGACTGCTCTTTGGTTTGTAGTCTTCAGTTTGATTTACGCTCTGCTCTGCTGGCAGGTCGGACCATTATCCTGTCAACGCACCACATGGACGAGGCGGACATCCTGGGCGACCGCATCGCTATCATCTCCCACGGAAAGCTGTGCTGCGTAGGTTCATCTCTGTACCTGAAGAACCAGCTCGGGACGGGATACTACCTGACACTGGTGAAAAAGGACCCAGAGACATCGCTAAGCTCCTGCAGGAACTCGTCCAGCACCGTGTCCTTCAGCAAGAAGGTTTGAGGCCCTCGGTCTGCTCGCACTGTGTCCACAATGAATGAGTGCACTCAGTAGTCCTCTTCCTGCAGTGTTTTTGTCTTTCCTCGTCTTGCAAGGTTTTTCACAGCTTCAGTATGTTGATGCCAGGACTGTATTTCAGGATGAGGAGAGCGCCTCGGTCAGCAGTAGTGACGCAGGACTCGGCAGCGAACATGAAAGTGAGGCAGCCACCATCGGTGAGCTCTCAGTTTCTGTAGAGCGTTTGGATCGTTCATCCTAAGGTGGGACTGATTCGTTTCCTGCGTCCTCGTCCACAGAGAACGGCCCCGCAGCGTCCATCTGCACCAACCCCTTTGTCCCGCCCGACGCGTCCATGGTGTCGGCTCTGATCTTGCGGCACGTTCCGGCCGCTCGTCTGGTGGAGGACCTGGGGCACGAGCTCACCTACATTCTCCCGTACAGCGCTGCTAAAGACGGAGCCTTCGTGGAGCTCTTCAAAGACCTGGACCTAAAGCTGCATGACCTCGGCATCTCCAGCTACGGAGTGTCTGACACCACACTGGAGGAGGTGAGACACAAACCACTTTCTTTTGGTTTTCAAACTCCTTTTATTTGAAAATCTTCAGCAGATTTCTAATTTAATGATAATTTTTTTTTACTCTGCTGTTCAGAGCAGCGCAAACCTAATTTTTTTTACTCTTCCTGTTTTGGTAGATTTTCTTAAAAGTGGCTGAAGATAACGGAGTTGACACTGAAGTCCCCTCAGGTGAGCAGGAAGTGCCCCGTGACTTTGAAATCTTTCTCTGTAAGAGCCTGAGACCACGTGTCCGTCTGTGCGTGTTTAGATGGGACACTTCCTGTTCGGAGGCGGAGAAGGACTCACGCCTTCGGGGGTGGAGACCACCAGAGCTGCCTAAGACCGATACGGGAGGACGACGACAACGAGTGCAACGACTCGGATGGAGATGCCGGTACACAAACTCAATGAAAGATCTCTAAACAAACAAAAGTGCTTTAAAACACTGAAATGTTCTGACAGCAGGAAAGAAGAGTTCTTTGTCCCAGTGGGTCATAGTAAAGTTCTGACACGAACAGGAGGCCATGTTTGATTATGTTACCCGTGTTTCCTGTCAGACTGCAGGGAAACAGACTGGTTGAGCTGCACCGATGGTAAAGGCTCTTATCAGGTGAATGGGTGGAGCCTGAAGAGGCAGCAGTTCGTGGCACTGATGTGGAAACGCTTCCTGTACGCTCGGCGCTCCAGAAAGGGCTTCTTTGCTCAGGTGGGCGCCACTCTGTGATGCCTTTCTTTTTCGTTTCACATCTTTCCTGTGAGCGTTCCCTGAACCACAGAGCTGCTTGTGTTTTCAGATTGTTCTTCCGGCCGTGTTCGTCTGCATCGCCCTCGTCTTCAGTCTCATCGTGCCGCCGTTTGGAAAGTATCCGAGTCTGGAGCTGCAGCCGTGGATGTACGAGGACCAGGTCACCTTTATCAGGTATGCACCAGTCTCACAGGTACCGTATTTTTCGCCAAATAAATCGCAGTTTTTTGCATAATTTGCATGCCCTGTGACTTATATGCCAAAGTGACGTATTTATGGATTTTTTTTCACATATTTATAAACAAATTTTTGGCTGAGTTATGACCGTTTTCATTCATTCTGACTGCAAATACTGAACACTACCATTTTCAGCCGCTAGATGGCACTCGAGTTGTATAGCATGCCGGTGTACGGTGGAAAATACGGAGTGCAGATCGGGAATGTTTACTGACTGTGTCTGTCCCGTCAGCGATGACGCTCCTGGAGACACCAACATGCAGAAGTTACTAAATGCTCTGATGGACCCTCCTGGTTTCGGCACTCGCTGCATGGACGGATATTCCATCCCGTAAGGACTCCCTTCTATCAGAAAGCCTCCTCATCCTCTTCCCCACACTCCATTTTTATTTTTTGTTTTGTTTGTTTGACGCCTCCTTTATCAGAGAGGCCCCTTGTACGATGGGCGATGAAGACTGGCACACCCCTGATGTCCCAGAGAGCATCCAGCAGCTGTTCAGCTCCAGAAACTGGACCATGGCGAACCCGTCCCCAGACTGTTCCTGCACCACCAACGGCAGGAAGAGGATGCTGCCAGAATGTCCCGATGGAGCCGGAGGTCTCCCCCCACCTGAGGTCAGACCACCTGGGATCTGAATTCACCTGAGGGGGAGTGGGGTACCTTGAACCTATATGTTGTAGTTCTGGATCAGCTTGAGTTGTTTTATATCTTATCAGAGTCGCAAGATTATCGTCTTATGCCGAGTCTCAGTTTAGTCCTGACTCCCCCCCCCCCATGGGTTGGTTAAGGTTAATAAACTGCTAGTGGCTTTGTTAGCATGGTATTAGCTGTTGTTAGTTGCTGGGTTAGCATAGTGTTAGCCTGTATTAGCATTGCATTAGCTGTCATTACAATTTTAGCTGCTGTTAGCCTGTGTAAGCGGATATGTCAGCATTGTGTTAGCTGTTTTTAGCACTTTTTATGTGCTGTTAGCGCTGTGATAGGCACTGTCTGCATAGATAATGTGTGCAGAAGAGGCTTTATTTATTTATTTATTTATTTTGGAGTTTTGTAAAGACACCAGAATCTTCACTGTCCATGTTGAAGCTTAGGTTTTAAAGGTTCTTTATTGGTTCGAGCTGATTAGATGCTACTCCAGATGTTTTATTTTATATTAAAAAATTACCTGACAAATATCCTGATTCATGCTCAATAATCCAGGTAGAAAAAAATCTAACAAAGTTAAGTCAGGTCCCCTGAACCGTATTACCTAAGGAACTTTTATTTGATCTCTGTCAGTCCATAATAAAAGACATTCCAAAATCTAAATCAATGAAGAGTCTGGACTAAGAACTGGTCCAAGATAAAGAATAAGTTTTGTTGCACCGAAGTGGAACAGAAAGTCACTTCATCTTTTTGAATACCAGTTTTTAGTTAAAATTGTCTTTTTTGTTCTATTTAAGCCTCAATTAGAATGCTCATTTAATGAAACTCTGATGCTGCTGCCATCTAGTGCACTAACGCAGAACTGCACGTAGAAATGATAAAATGTAGTAGAAAAAAAACAATTCAACAATAAATAATAATTATTAATTAATAATTGATATTGCAGCACATTGTTACCTTAGCATAATTACCTCAGTAATTGTATTGTAAAATATTGCATAACAGTGCTAAAGGTACAAATGTATTATCTACATCTAAAGAATGAAATATAATGAATTTACCAGAAAAAAATTAATTTGTCCATATTTGTTACAATTTTTACAGCAGATTATTTTTTGTTTAACTGATTAATTATTTCACAATTTCACGGCTTCACTGTTTCACTGCACGTTTTCACTAAACAAAGTAAAGATTTTGTGTGTTGAACAAATGTTTCACTGTTCAGATTAAACTGAGCGCCACCGACACGCTGCAGAACCTGACAGGAAGGAACATCTCAGACTACCTGGTGAAGACGTACACTCAGATCATCGGAAAGAGGTGAGACGTGCAGGACTCATTTGAGGACTTGCACCTGAGCAGGTCCACGAATGTGAGCTAAATGTTTGTTTCTTCTTGCAGCCTGAAGAACAAAGTCTGGGTGAATGAGTTCAGGTTGGTCTCTGGATTTATTTCAACATTTTTATTGTCAGGTACTCATTACTCCTGGATGCTCTAATTTTCTCTTCTCTCTGCAGGTATGGAGGCTTCTCATTGGGCGCCAGGAGCATGCAGGTCCTCCCACCGGCCAATGAGATTGATGATGCCATCGAGAGAGTCAGAAAGATCTTTGAGCTTCAGAAGGTCAGTCAGAGACGAACCAGGATTTTACTAACATTATCTCAGATCAGCAGTTAATTTATATCCAATGAAACTGTTAATAGTGTGAATGCTTATTAAGCATCCACACTATTGTGATCAGGTTTATATTTCTTGTAGTTACATCTTCCATATGTTTTTCTGCATCTTTCTCATTCCACAATTTTTGTGCTATTTCAACAAATCATAAATCAAAATGTTCAGCTCTTTCAGGACAATCCTGCTATGAATTTTGGTATTGGTGCAACTTTAGCTTTTTGAAATATTTGGCCTTTTCTGCCATTCTTTTCTTATAGAAAATGAACTGAGCTCATTTTACATCCTTCAGATATTTAGATCAGTTTACAACCTTTTACTGCTCCTTTCACATTTTGTTCTGGTTCAGCTTCTTTCAGCTTCCTGGTGCAAATTAAAAAAAAAATTCCAGCTCCTTTCAGCTAATTTCAGCTGTTTTCAGCTGTTTTGAGCTCCTTTCAGATTCTTTCTGCTAACTACATTTTTGTGCTTCTTCTAACTTGTTTCTGCTAATTTCAGCTTGTTACGCTCCTTTCAACTTGTTTCTGCAAGTTTCAGCTTTTTCTACTATTTCAGCTACTATTTAGCTGTTTTATGCTAATTTTAGCCTTTTCAGCTAATTCCACATTGTTTTGCACTCATTTAAACTTTTTTCATCCTAATTCAGCAAAAATGTGCCCTCTCCACTTTCTACTGGTAATTTAAGCTCTTTTCTGCTTTTTTAGCTACTTTTCAGCTGTGTTTTTGCTAATTTCATCTGTTTTCAGATCATTTCCACTTTTTGTGCTCATTTCTGTTTTTTTCAGGTTAATTAGTCAAACATGCTCTTTTTGCTTTCTTCTGCTAATTTAAGCTTGTTCTATCTTTTCAGCTAACTTTTTATTAGCATTTTAGCTCATTTCAGTTGTTTTCAGATAAATTCACTACTTTCAGCTTAATAACATCTTTCTGCTAATTTCAGCTTAGCTTTTTATGCTATTTACTATTTAGCTGTTTTATGCAATTTTTAGCATTTTCAGCTAATTCCACATTTTTTAAGCTCATTTCATCTTTTTCCATTTTGTTCTGGTAGGTTAAGCTTCTTTCTGCCTTTTCAACTACTTTTCAGCTTTTCAGGTTTTTTTTCAGCTGATTTCCTAAATTTTGTTCTCATGTCTACTTGTTTAAACCTAATTCAGTAAACATTTGTTCTATGCTCTCTTCTGCTAATTTAGGCTTGTTCTTCCAGTTCAGCTACATTTCAGCATGTTTTAGGCTAATTTCATCTGTTTTTCAGCAAGTTCTTCTGCAATAAGCATTCACACTGCATTTTCACAGGAAATGTAATTTCTCTAGTTGGATTCTTCTTCTCTTGGATTTGAGAGGAACTAGTCCAGCTCCATGATCCAGAACCTCCAGAATCTAAAATTGAAGTCTTTGTGTTTGCGTTTCCTGTAGGGAGCAGCTGCAGATCGATTCCTGGACAATCTGTCTGGCTTCATCAATGGCCTCGACACCAAAAACAATGTAAAGGTGAGAGAACCAGCAGTGAAACCAGAACCTGGAGGTCCATCAGGTTTGGTCCAGGGTTCCTGCACAGTTTGTGGAAAAGTTCAGCTTTTAAATGTTTTCCAGTTTGAAGGAGGTGTAGGTCTAATTTTCATATTAAAAGATGGATTTAATGACTTTGTCAGCTGTTGGTTTGGGTAACGTTGAGGTCTGGAGCAGGATGATGAAACGGTGAGGAACTGGTTCTGACTTGTTCCTGAACCTGCTCTCTTCAGATCTGGTTTAACAACAAAGGCTGGCACAGCGTTGCAGCGTTTATCAACGTGATGAGTAATGGCATCCTAAGAGCAAACCTGCCGCCAGGTAAAGAGGCCAGCAGGTACGGCATCAACGCCTTCAACCACCCACTGAACCTGACCAAAGAGCAGCTGTCCCAGGTCGCCCTGTGAGTGCTCACCTGGACCACACACCTGATCCTAGCTGTGACTGGACTCTATCAGGGTTTATCTTACCTCTCCTCTCCATCTCCAGGGTAACAACCTCTGTGGACGTCTTGGTATCCATCTGTGTCATCTTTGCCATGTCCTTCGTCCCTGCAAGCTTCGTGGTCTTCCTCATCCAGGAGCGCGTCAGTAAAGCCAAACACATGCAGTTCATCAGCGGCGTCCATCCGCTGCTCTACTGGCTGGCCAACTTCATGTGGGACATGGTGAGACGTCAAGCCCCGCCCCCTGGCTGTACATCTGTGTGTGCGTTTGTGTGTGTGTGTGGTGTTTCTGATGGTTGCGTGTGTCTCTGCAGTTAAACTACTTTGTCCCAGCAATACTCGTCATCCTCATCTTCATCTGCTTCCAACAAAAAGCCTATGTATCGTCCAGCAACCTTCCAGTGCTCGCTCTGCTGCTGCTGCTCTATGGGTCAGATATTTTCTACTACACTGTACTACACAGTACTATACATATACAGTACTACACCATACAACACATTACTACACAGTACTACACAGTACTGCTACATACAACATATTACTACAGTAATACACCATACAAAACAGTACTACACAGTACTACACCATACAGTGCATTACTACACAGGTCTACACCATACAACACATTACTACACAGTACTGCACCATACAACACAGTACTACACCATACAACACATTACTACACAGTACTACACAGTACTGCTCCATACAACATATTACTACAGTAATACACCATACAAAACTACTACACAGTACTACACCATACAGTGCATTACTACACAGGTCTACACCATACAACACAGTACTATACAGTACTAAACCATACAACACATTACTATACAGTACTAAACCATACAACACAGTACTATACAGTACTAAACCATACAACACATTACTACACAATACTACACCATACAACACAGTAATACACAGTAATACACAGTACTACACGTACTACACCATACAACACAGTACTACACTATACAACATAGTACTACACCATAAACACAGTACTACATCGTTTCTCACCATACTACATTGTATCACACTGTACTACACAGTACTACAATGTATTTCACTGCACTTCCTTGTATATCAGACAAAGCTGGTTTGGGTTATTTTACTGACAGTCCTGTTTTTTTCTCCAGATGGTCCATCACGCCGCTCATGTACCCCGCCTCCTTCTTCTTTAAGGTCCCCAGCACGGCGTACGTCGTTCTCACCAGCATCAACATCCTCATCGGCATCAACGGCAGCATCTCCACTTTCGTCATGGAGCTGTTCGGAGACCACGTGAGTGCACGGCATACAGGTGTTTTCAATCTGACTCAGGTAAATCCAGCTGTAGGAGGAGCTTTAACTTCCTATTTCTGCAGGAAATCGGCGGCATTAACGACATCTTGAAGAACGTCCTCCTCATCTTCCCTCACTTCTGTCTCGGTCGAGGTCTTATTGATATGGTGAAGAACCAGGCGATGGCCGACGCCCTCGAGAGATTTGGTAAGGAGCAGACGCAGACACTCACCTAGGTGTTCTCCTCACAGGTGGGACTCACCTGGTGGACTGGAAGTTCACCTCGTTGTTGTTGTGTTCCAGGTGAGAACAGGTTCCGCTCTCCGCTGGAGTGGGACATGGTGGGAAGGAACCTGCTCGCCATGGCTGTAGAGGGTGTGGTGTTCTTCATCATCACTATTCTCATCCAGTACCGCTTCTGCATCAAGCCCAAGTGAGTCCAGACTGGTTCTGTTCTCACGCCAGGCTCATGGACCCAGTCACAACTCAGATTCTGCGTTTTGAACTTCCTTTGAACTCACCTGGAGAACTTTGTAGTTACTTGTGTGAGCACTTTCTTCCTTTGTCGTACCCAAATCGTTTTTAAAGGCTCAGTGTGTGTGTGTGTGTGTGTGTGTGTAGGCCAGTCAGTAAACTCACAAAACTGGGAGTGCTGGGAGAAGAAGATGAGGATGTGGCTCGAGAGAGACATCGGATTGTCCAGGGCCTCGGCCAGGGAGACATCCTGGAGCTCCGGCAGCTCACAAAGGTGGGTGGGATTTAGATCTGGACTGGGTTTATACCTGGCCAGGTATTGAAGCAAGCGCAGAATGTGGAACTGGTCCAACAGTGTTTTATATCCTGCAGGTGTTTAAAAGGAAGCAGAAGCCGGCTGTGGATCGACTGTGTGTTGGGATTCCACCTGGAGAGGTGAGGCTCACTTCCTACAGGCACGGTGCAGGTTCAGGTGCAGGTGCAGGTGTGGTGCTGGTGCAGGTGTAGATGTAGTGTCAGTGCAGGTGAACAACATGAAAGCGATTTGTATCACGCGTGTTTGTTTCTGCTTAGTGTTTCGGTCTGCTCGGAGTGAACGGAGCCGGGAAAACAACCACGTTCAAGATGCTGACAGGAGACACCATGGTGACCAGCGGTGAGGCCTTCTTGGCTGGGAAGAGGTGAGCATCCAGAACCTGATCTGAGATCAGAGTAGACCCTGTATGCTGGTGTTTGTGTTCTGTTGGACGGACTGTTGTTTTGGTGAAACGTTCCTGCGTACCGCATGTGGATCGTGTCCTCAGTGAACCCTGTCATGGTGTGTCCGCATCTCTGCAGCATCCTCAGGGAGATTGACGAGGTCCATCAGAACATGGGCTACTGTCCTCAGTTTGATGCCATCAACGATCTGCTGACAGGAAGAGAACACCTAGAGCTGTACGCCATCCTCAGAGGCGTCCCCGAGAAGGAAGTCTGTGACGTGAGTTAAAAACACACGGTAATGCACAATGAAGGGGCGGGGTCATGATGCAGCAATCTGATTGGCTGCTGTTTGATTAACAGGTGGCAGAGTGGGGCATCAGGAAGTTGAGTCTGCTGAAGTATTCAGATAAACGGGCTGGAAGTTACAGCGGAGGAAACCTGAGGAAGCTGTCTACGGCCATCGCTCTGATCGGAGCGCCACCAGTCGTTTTCCTGGTAAAACACACTTCCTCTTCCTGGTGTTCTTCCTCCTCCTCTTCACCTCTTAGAGCTGCTTTATGAACCTGTCATCAGCTGACCCAGTCATTCGGATTCAGTAACTTATATGTCAGTTAAGAACCAAAGTTTGTCCTCGTTTTAGGACGAACCCACCACTGGCATGGACCCCAAGGCCCGCCGAGCCCTCTGGAACTGCATCCACAGCATCATCAAGGAGGGACGTTCTGTCGTCCTCACCTCCCACAGGTGTGACACTCCTGGTGTCTTCGTCTTTTCTGTCTCTGTCCTTGGTTTGTCCCCAGTTAGTGTCCCTGCTGTCCAAACAGTTTCAAGTGTTCTTTTTTTTTTTTAGACCCATAAATTGAGTCTTTAGTCAAGACTTTAAGGTGTATTCAGTGCTTAATTTGTAAACCAAACGATGCCAGAACACAAATAGCGGGTCTGGGGATCCTCCTTCAGAATATTTTGAATAAAGTAGATGCCATTTCCTGCATTTTGGTGTATTTTAACAGGTTGTTAAATATCTACATTTACCTACATTTGGAAACACTTGATTCAATAACTATTTTAGAGATCAACAAGTAGTAGCCTGACCAACAGCTCTCCCTGTGTGAATAGAGCATGCTCTTCTTCTCTCAAGCATTCTAAACCCTCCCCACCCCCCCAGGGGCAGAGATTTTTTTTAAGGGTAGAAGTGGAAATGCTTACTTTAAGCGGCTGCTCTTATCTGATATTAGGAAGCTTGTAAGTGGCTGTTGTGTGTAAAATTAGTGTTTGTATAATTATTTTCAGTTTACATATCCAATAAGGTTTTATTTGTTCAAGGCAGTCATATTTGTTCATAACTTTATTATTTATAAACCTGAGAGTTACCGGACACAAGCAAACAGTTACCAGAACACACCCTGTTAAAATTAGAGAGTTCCCAGATCCTGTTCCATCAGGATCTAGCTCAAATTCAGCCCTTGGTGTATCCATGTGTGAATTCAGGTGTGTCCAGGTAAGTTCAGATGTGTGTTTCCAGGTGTGTGTCCTCACGGAGGGCCTGCCGTGCAACTGTGTGTGTTAACAGTGTGTAATGTGTGTGTTATAGTATGGAGGAGTGTGAAGCTCTGTGCACCAGGATGGCAATCATGGTGAACGGCAGGTTCAGATGTCTTGGCAGTGTCCAACACCTGAAGAACAGGTAACACGCTCAGGATTTCAAAGTAAAAGTCCTGGAATCAGAATTCAGTTTAGAAACAATCGCTGCAGTGTTACTGTCTGACAGACCGATCTGAGCTGAGGTCTTCATCATTGTACGAGCTTCACCGGTTTTTGTGCATCAGGTTTGGTGATGGGTACACCATCATTCTGCGGGTGGCGGGACCCGACCCGGACCTCCTTCCCGTCATGAAGTTCATAGAGAGCGAGCTGAGCGGCAGCACGCTGAAGGAGAAGCACCGCAACATGCTGCAGTACCAGCTGCCGTCGTCGCTCACATCGCTCGCCCACATCTTCTCCATCCTCGCCAAGAACAAGGACACGCTCAGGATCGAGGACTACTCCGTCACTCAGACCACGCTGGATCAGGTACACATAACACACCTGGACAGGTGCACATACCTGGGCAGGTATACAGACTAAGAGCTCTCATCTGGGCAGGAAGGTGATGGGACTGATGGGAGTAGTTATCCTTGGAGATGCTGACGATACTGTTTCTCGTTTCAGGTGTTTGTGAACTTTGCGAAGGACCAAAGTGACGACTACGTGTCCAAAGATGCATCAGTGAGGCGGAAAGATGTCACCATCAACATTTCAGCGTTAGGCTCCACCCACGGAGCCACCGAGGGAGGGGGTGGACAGCAGGAGAGCGTCATGTGACCATGACTCATGTCAAGTGACGTTAGAAGGCGGAGTATCATCAGCCTGGACTCGACCTGCAGCGTAGAGGACGCCTCCTCCTCGCCTGCTGTGATGTCGCACTGATTTGAACATGGCGGTAGGCGGAGCCACCAGCCACCCGATGCCAGTCAATGCAAATGATGTGCTGTGGAGGCGACGAGCGGCTCGGAGTTAAAAACTTGAACAACGATGAAGAATCCGAATCATTTCAAACGGCCGAGGGCTCGACTGCAAAATCAGTTTTTATCAAACTTTGATTCTGTTTTTATTCTCAGACTTTTATTTATTTTTGTAGCTGGAACAGAAACACGTAATCTGTTTTACTTTGGCGGTGTCCACACCGTTTCCTGTAGTGTTAACAGCCAATCAGAGCGCTCGATACAAAGAAAATTATCTTATTGGGTTTTTTTAACGACAGAGGAGCAGATCTGTTTGATTTTAGGAGTAAAGCAGTGAAATACCTCATCAGCTCCTGGAAGGACACCACGACATTGATCAGCAGCTGATCAATCAGAGATCTGATCGATCGGTGATCATCTTGTGTGTCCGACTGCAGCACTTTAAGTGTTTGAGACTTCCGTTTGTGTTTGCACTGATTCTAATCTGTTTGTATTTCTGATCATCATGTTTCTTGTTGTGCTGCTGATGGAAGAACAGCTGTTACGGCTAAACGAGCAAAAATAAATCGACTTGAATCGATCACGTCCACAGGACTGCTTCACACACACACACACACACACACAGAGCTGAAGTTTGATAGATATTTGTCACACAAACAAGTCTATAACTTACTGCATGGGTTTCTTGAAGGTCCTGGACCAAACTGGACTCAGAGGTTAAGAATTAAAGCTTATCATGACTACTTGGCTTTATACTTGTAACAAAAACTTCTGAAGCAGCTATAACGTCTATCAACGTCCTTCTCTTAAGCCCAACATGAATTTGGGATTACCTTTTGTAAAATTCTAAGTCATGACAAGAGTCAGACTTTTATTTTGAAACTCTGGGGTAAAACTATTCCTATTTGTGTTCTGTCTTTAATGATTTTTAGTCCTTAATTCTGCAGACCCTCTGATCTAATTCTTCTCAACATCAAAGGTCTGAAATTATACCGGATCCATGGGGGCAGCCGTGATGAAAATTTTTTATTATTCTGAAATGTCTCCCGAGTCGTTCACTGGGTGGGGTTCCGGTCTTTTTTTGGAGGGGAGCAGAAAGGATAGGAGCAGCGCACAGGCTAAAAAGCCTCAGAAAAACAATCACTGTGTGAAAAATGTAAGTCGGATCACAACAATTCTTGACCCGTGAGCAGCAGGAAGTTCTGACAGTCGCACCTGCTCATTTTAATATTTTTACTGTTTAGTGGAGGAGACGTATGATAAATTAAGGAGTTTGGGTGTTTGCACTCTATCGCAGCTGATTTACAGTAAAGACTCCACCTCCTTCATGGTTACCATGGTGACCTCACCTAAAGTTAACTACCTGGAGATCACATGCCCAAACTGCATTTTTTGTCTTTTTTTTTTTTTTATTAAAATGAAATAACTTGAAATATTCAAACGGTCTCAGTTTATTGTTTTTAGATATTTTACATCAGAAATTTAAAGTCACAGTTCAAGAAAGTCAAACGTTAAGCTCCACCCACTCCCAAGAGCTCAGGATTGCAGCTGTCTCATCCAGGGAAAGAGGCGGAGCTTACAGGTGCTCCACAGCAAAACATCAGCTGATCTGCTTTTCCATAGAGATGGGGAGGTCTTAGTTCATTGGGGAGAATGGACATGGGAACATCAGCTGATTCCTCTGAGTGTCAAGATTGCCGACGCTGCTTCTGACTGAAACGCACACGAATACACAGGTTAGTGACTGATTATTCATCAGCGTGATGTCACTGACACTGTGGGGGGAGCCTTACCTGCAGCGACCACTCTGGCATCAGTGTGGGCTTTGTGTCGAACTTCAGCTCGCTTATCAGCGCTCTCGTACCACCAGAGGGCATGAACTGCAACATAGTGACATCATCACAGTAAATGCAACCCCAAAGCAACTTAAAACTTCACAAAACCCTTCCTGTCCATTAAATCTTGTTAAACCCAGTTAAATCCAGATGTTCCTCCAAGATGGACCTTGGATTGATGAAAAACAACACTTTATTCAACACAGACTGCTTCCAGTTTAGTACTGATGCCATAAAACTGCTTCCTGTTTAATACTGATGCCATCAAACTGCTTCCTGTTTAGTACTGATGCCATCAAACTGCTTCCTGTTTAATATCGATGCCATCAAACTGCTTCCTGTTTAATATTGATGCCATTAAACTGCTTCCTGTTTAATAATGATGCCATCAAACTGCTTCCTGTTTTATACTGACACCATCAAACTGCTTCCTGTTTTA